ATCAGTTCTTCAGCAGGCGTTTTCTGAGAAAGCCCCTTTCCTATATAGCTGCAGTGCAGTTACTTAAATCAGGAAGTTAATGACACCAATGCTATTATCTTATCTACGAGCCTTACTCAGATCTTGCCATTGACCCACTCACGTCCTGGGGTCTAGGATCCCATCCCAGATCATAAGGTGCCTTCAGTTGCCACATCTCTAATTTCCTTCCATCTGCAACAGGTTCTCAGTCTTTCTTGTTCTTCATGACCTCGACATTTGTGCGGAGGCCAGGACAGAGCTGTCTGTTCATTGGATTGAAGTCAGTGAGGTGGGACCCTCTGATTCTCCGCATTTTGTAGCTACACGGGAGGCAGAAGATGAAGAGAAATCACGCTGGGCACACCTCGTCTGAATTGGAATGCCTTTGTTTCCACAGAAGTCCCTTTTGCAGACTTCCTATCTGAAGTTAATAGTTAATACTATCTGAAGTTAATAGCTAATAGTTCAAGTTGAGCTTTACTGGATGTCCTGTTCTTTAAAAAAGCCTTAGCTCAGATGTCACCTCCATGGAACAATGGCTAACTACCAAGTCTTACTGTATGAATGTGATGTGACTCACCTCATCTAATCCTCACAATAGCGCTATCATTTATGTACTCTCATTTTGCATACTTTATAGGTGAGGAAATGAAAATAAACCCAGGTCTCGGTGTGCCTGCATCCCCGCTGGACTGTCCCCTGTGCTGCCTCAGAAGGGCCTTCCCCAGCCCCTCAGCTAAAGCAGTCCCCTACCCCACCCCGCTACCATCACCCCATCCTGTTTCCCGGTTCTGATTTCATTACAGCACTTTGCCAGCCAGAATCCCTTTGTTCAGTTCACTTCGTTACCCATTATGATGGGTCTTCACCAAGACCTGAACTGCAGAGGGGCTGCCACCTTTCTGTCCAGGTCACCACGGGGTGTCCAGCTCCTAAGGTTTCAGGAAACAATCTTTTTTCGAATGAACACAGGCATGTTTTCTTTGACAAAGCCTTTGGTAATAGTCCTTTCCAAAAAGTCGGCACAGATGAAGTGCTTGAGAGACTTGGGTCTTCTCTAGAAGATGCAATAATGAGGCACCTACTGAGGGAAGGGGCTGGGTGTGGGCCCAGCAGTGGAAAGAGCACCTCTGCTGGGTTCAGAACAGGCCATGGGGTCTTGGGCACATATCTTCAAGCCTGTGAGCCAGGAAGTTGAGAGAAGACACAGGTGGGCACCCCAGCAAAGAGAGGCTAGGATGCCTGTCCTGGATCGGCTCACCCCACCCCCCAGCAGTTTGCGGTAGAGATGCCCTTTCTGCAGCAGCTGCCAGCCTGTTGTGATAGCATCTTTCTTTTTTCTTGAGTTGAGTTGTCAGGTTTCGGCAGACTCCCAATCAAAACAGCAGAAGCAAACAGACAAGCAGAGGGGTGAGAGAAGCGTCTGTCAGCTTAGCAAGCTGTCAGGGCCAGGTTGAATTTAAAGCAACACCAGGAACACTGAATAGCGGCATTACTAATTGGATTAAAGGCTAAAAGAATCAAATGCCAAAAGTGGCAGTCTCACTTTCGGATGCCCTTCCTGCCTTGAGTGTTAGCTGTTTGGGGTGGTCCTAGCCGTGGCCCTTTGCCCGGCAGAGGCACTACCTTAAGTCACTCTATCGGATGTTTATAGAGTGGCTGCTCTGCCCCAGCCCTTGAGAGCCACAGGGGACACAGCTGTGAAAGAGGCACAGCCAGCCTCCCTGTTGCAGAAAATCAAGACCCTAAACAAAGATGGTATTTCACCACGTCAAAGGCACCATTGTTTTAGCCACTCCCTAAGAAAGAAAGAAAAAATATCAATTATGTGGTAACACAAATCTCTCTTATCATTTAGAATTTTTGTCTTATGGTTATTGAAAGAACTCTTTTAGACTTAATATAGATTTTATATATTTTTGTGAATATATAAAAAGGAAAATAGGTGAAGAAAAATAAATTGGTTAAGATATCTCTAAAACTTTTACAGCAAGAGCCTTCCTATTCTAAATCTTTTTATTTTTAGATATTTCTACACAAGCCACTGTCCTCTATGCCATCAAGAGTGTGAGGCATGCAGCATTTCTCAGAAGACTCTATACAAACACTACAGGCCATCAGCGCTGGGCTTGTGCACCGGCTTTTGATTCCCACTTTGGGAATGCTGCTAAGCAACCCCTGAGTGACTGTCCCCACCATCAGCCCCGCACCCCTGAGGTCAAGATGCTCTACTCTTGTCTTTGGGATTTTCTTCCTCCTGCTGGCACCTATGCCGCCCGTTTCGATGCTGGCATGTTGGATGTTGCCACATGCACAGGCAGTGGTAACTACACAACTTTTTCCAATGCCATTGTAAGAAACACCCCAACTTGGCCAGCTGTAGTGGCTCACACCTATAATCCCAGCACTCTGGGAGGCCGAGGCAGGCAGATCACTTGAGGTCAGGAGTTAGAGACCAGCCTGGCCAACATGGTGAAACCCTGTCTCTACTAAGAATATTTTAAAAATGAGCCGGGCATGGTGGCACATGCATGTAATCCCAGCTACTTGGGAGCTGAGGCATGATAATCACTTGAACCCAGGAGGCAAAGGTTGCAGTGAGCCACACTGCACTCCAGCCTGGGTGACAGAGTGAAACCTTGTCAAAAAAAAAAAAAAAGAAAGAAGAAAGAGAGGGAGGGAGGAAGGAAGGAAAGAAAGGAGGAAAGAAAGAAAGGCCCTGACTTGAGGGAGGTGAAAATGTGAAAGAATAGGCATCTGTGAATCGGTGAAGTGTGGCTAGTGCCAGGGTGCTGAGCATCGTGAAGCATTATGAAGGGTGATGAACGTTATGGTAGAGGATGCTGTGAGCACAGACAACAGGGTTCCCTTCCGTCTGTGGTCAGACCTTCCTGGAGAACAAAGCTCCAGCCTGAGACCTAATGCATGGGAAGGGGCAAGGCAGGAGGAAAGGCAGAAGGGTGCTCTGGAGGAGGGAACAGTGTCTGCAAAGGCCCAGAGTTAGGAGGGAAAGTAAAGGGATGCCATCTTCATCAGTTCACAAAGTGGGCTTTTTGTTGGTGGTGAAGTATGGAAGAGCTGCTAGCCACAAAAATAACTTAGCGGTTCTGTTGGGCTTTGCCAGCATTCCCACCGCAGGGAACTGTGTCATAGAAGCTTCTGGAGGAATTAATGATGCAGTGGGCATGTTAATGTACCTAAATTAAAATATCCATTGCAGCCCAGGCACAGTGGCTAACAGCTATAATTCCAGCACTTTGGGAGACTGGGGCAGGTGGATCACCTGAGATCAGGAGTTTGAGACCAGCCTGGCCAATATGGTAAAACCCCATCTCTACCAAAAATGCAAAAAAGTTAGCTGGGTGTGATGGCTGGCGTCTGTAATGCCAGCTACTCGGGAGGCTGAGGCAAGAGGATTGCTTGAACTCAGGAAGCAGAGGTTGCAGCAAGCTGAGATCATGCCACTGCACTCCAGCCTGGGCAACAGAGTGAGACCCTGACACACACATGCACACACACGCACACAAACTCACTGCATCATTAATTCCTGCTGCAGGTTTTTTTTTTCCTCTGGGTCTTCGGTTGAAGGGTCTAGTGGTTTTTTTAAAGTTTTTGAGATATTTGTTATAGAAATATGAATTTAAAAAATATTAATATAATTAAACCTGAAAGTTATTTGAAACAACTAAATTCACCTATGGGCCCACCATTCCACAGTTCCTACAATTTCGTATTTTGGCCCTTGTTTAAGAAGATATGTAAAGTTTGCAGGGCTGTAATCCCACTGATTACAATCATAGATTCCGCTTTGTTGCTTTTTTTCTTCGTGATGGAGTCTCGCTCTGTCGCCCAAGCTGGAGTGCAGTGGCACAGTGTCGGCTCACTCACTGCAGCCTCCGCCTCCTGGGTTCAAGCGATTCTCCTGCCTCAGCCTCCCGAGTAGCTGGGATTACAGACACCTGCCACTACGCCCGACTAATTTTTTTTTTTTTTTTTTGAGATGGAGTTTCGCTGTTGTTACCCAGACTGGAGTGCAATGGCACAATCTCGGCTCACCGCAACCTCCGCCTCCTGGGTTCAAGCAATTCTCCTGCCTCAGCCTCCTAAGTAGCTGGGACTACAGGTGCACACCACCATGCCCAGCTAATTTTTGTATTCTTAATAGAGACGGGGTTTCACCTTGTTGACCAGGATGGTCTCGATCTCTTGACCTCGTGATGCACCCGCCCCGGCCTCCCAAAGTGCTGGGATTATAGGCGTGAGCCACTGTGCCCGGCCAATTTTTTGTATTTTTAATAGAGATGGGGTTTTATTGTGTTGGCCAGGCTGATCTCGAACTCCTGACCTCACGATCCACCCGCCTCAGTCTCCCAAAGTGCAGAGATTACAGGTATGAGCCACTGCACCTGGCCCGTTGCTTATTTTTCTATTACAAAATTTAATATTTGGTAATGTCCCTGTTGATATAAAAGCTTCATAATTGCACATAATATATACAATCATCTAAGTGGATATTTTTAAATTTACGTGACCACTCACTTTTAAACATGTAGGTTGCTTTCGAGCTTTTAACTACTATAAATGATATTACATTGAACGTTTTCAGGGGTTGGCAAACTACAGCCCACAGACCAAATCTGGCCCGCCACCTGTTTTTGTAAATAAAGTTGTATTGGAACACAGCCAGATCCATTCATTCATGTATTACATACGGTCACTTTCACAGCAGAGTGGAGTTGCAATAAAGACTGTGTGGCCCACAAAGCCTAAAATATGTAATGTTTGGTCCTTTGCCAAAAAGAAATTGGCAATCCCTGTTTTACAGTATGCAGCTGAGTTTTCTTACATTATTCTCCTTAAGATAAATTCCTAGAGGTGGATAGTCACTCATAGGATACATAACTTAGTTTGATTTCAAAATAACCTCTTTGTAACATGAATATGGCCTTCGTAGACAGTGACATATCAGAACAAATGAATTAGCTGATTCATTTATTAACTATTACAAGAGTAGAGTGATTAGAAGATACTATTAATGTACCTTTGGTCCATTTTGTTTGTACTCAGAGGTAACTAATCTTCATCTCCAATTTAACTCCTCAAATAGAACCCAGTTCTTTTCATTCACAGCATTTCTCGTAGTTTTTAATTGTTTCATTAACGCAACACTGGCAGCTGTATCTAATAACTCTTAAATGTTACTGATTGACACAATACCTTTCTCCCTCCCCAATTAGGGACCCAAGCATGAGGGTTCCTAGTCAGTGGGCAGCTTTTTCCTATGTGGCTATTCAAGTTTGGGCCAAGATTTTTCTATTCTTTTTTAACTACTTTTTTGGGGGAAAGAACCCACTTAAAACCTTGCAGTGGACATCCTGGTGTGTGCCCAATATCCCCTTTATTGCTGAGGCATTCAGCGCCCCCCCCGACCCCCGCCAAGAATGTGGCCTGCTGAGTCCCTCGCCACAAATTGATGTCCACCAAAGGGACTCACCTCACTCAAGATGATGCCTGCCCTCTCCCTGGGGGCAGCCTGTATCCCGTGGTCGATGGAGAGTCATGAAAGGCTGCTCTCCTTGATTCAACAGAGAAGACTCTGAAGAGCAGTCCTAGCTTCAGAGCTCCTGGGAGGATCAGCCAAGGTCTTTGTTTTGGCTGCTCAAATCCTCCCTCCACCTGGCCTCGCTTAATCTCCCACTGTTATCTCCTGGAGAGCACTCCCCAATTAACTTTTTCATGCAGATCTCTTCCTCAGAGTCTATTTCCAGAGAATTCCACCACCCCAGACCCAAAGGACAGACCTAAATCTTGGTTCAGTTTTATTCTTCACTTTCCATTGACTTTGAAAGTGTGCACCTTCTTTGCCTCTCTTCACAGGGATATTTCAGCACTGCATTCACAGCTCCTGTTTGCTGCACGTCTCTGCTCTTCACCGCATCTTTGACATTTCTTAGTAGTCTCCTTTTATTGCCTCATTACCTTAGGAAGAGGTGAGGTATAAATTACCAAGGTAATAAGTATTCAAATTGCACAGACCATCTGCCCCTGAACAGGTGTCCACTTTAAGGCAATGTCAATCTCCATCCCCTGGGCAAGGGGAGAGGGGAAGAAACCACCTCCGAAGCTTCGTGGGAGGAAAAGGGAAGCTGAGGAAGTGTGGCTTCTGTTGAGTTTCTGATTCAGACACAGGAAGAATTCCTTCCAGAAAATGCAGTTAAGGAAGAGGAAATCATAGCCCAAGAATGTTATGATCCGGAGCCTGCAGGTTGTTTACAACAACAGAAGTGCTGCATGGACCCAATGAGGGTTTTACTTTTGCTTTTAGCTATTGTGGGCAGAGCATGTGATGCATGCCAGGAGCTGGCTTAATGCTTTTCAGGTATTAGAAGAGCTAACTCTCTAAGCGGGGTACTATTTGTCACCCCCACTTTCCAGGGGGAAAACAGGCCCTGGGAGGTTACATAGCCTTTCCAGGTCACACAGCTAAGAGGCAATGGGAATTTGACCCAGGAATCCTTTGACTCCAAAGCCAAGCTCTTAATCTGTATTATCTTGCCTCCCTTCTGCAGAGATCAAGGTTGTCCACAGTCTAGCCAGGGACCAGCCAGAGTACTTTGGCTGGGGGTGGAAATAAACCTGTTCAAAATGCAGATTCCTGGGTCCCAGCTCAGACCTACTCGATTAAAATCTCTGGTTGAGGGGCCCAGGGACCTGCATTTTAACACATCCCCTTGTGGACACACTCTCTAAAGGATGAGAATGTCAAGTAGTGACTTTCTCACTGCCATGCAGGTCACAGGCCACCTTCCTAACTTCCCTTGCCTTGTGTCAAGTAAGCCAGCAGGGACCTGAGACCATCAGCAGCTTTGTGACACCTGCAGGTCATCTTCCATTGTCATGCTGCCTTTCCAGTAGGCCCTCCTGTTGGGATTCAGCACTTTCTTTGATGCTGCTCTTCATCTCCTGATAAGGGAGGGAAACTGAGGCAGTGGAACTGCTGGATTCCTGCTGCCTCAGTGAGATCTTGGATAAGTCACCTGCCCTCTCTGTGCCTCAGTTCCCTCATCTGTGAGAAGGGGGTGATAATATTACCTGCTCAGGGTTACTGTGTAGAAGTACTGGAGCTCTGAGTGACTGTTATTATTTTATTACCTCCCTTCAGTAGTCTAGTGAGAACTTTAATCATCTTTTCCCCAGAAGTCATCTGGGTCTGTTCTCGCTATTCCATATTTATAATATTTTCCACAAGGTCTTCATTTCCTTTTTCCCTTTGAACATCTCCAACTTGCCTCTACATATCTATGCTAGTCCCCTTGATAAGAATATTAGATTGACCCAGGTCTGTGTCCACATGAGGAGAGAGCCCACCTGGTCTTAGGTCAAGGTATTTCAGGCATTTCATTTTGCATTTACCGTCGTCTGTAGAGCATATCATACCAACCAGGTAGACATCAAGGTGATGAAAAAGGAGCATTGGGTCGGCTCTTGGCTCTGCTGCCCACGAGATGGGTAATCTGGGTAAATCGCATCCCCTCTCTTGGTCTCAGTTTTCTCTTGTGAAGTAGGGGAAACGTTTTGAGATCAGCGTTGTTCTAATCATGATATATACATGCATATATGTACTTGGTAAGAAGATGAATTGCTGGGCAAGCTCAGAAAAGCCTGGGCTCTGGTGCGGAGGAGCTGTGAGTGTTGGGGGCTGTGGCATTGCTGGAGGGTTTTTCTCTTAGTATCGAGAAATTCCAGGGCAGAGAAAGTCAGAGTTCTGAAAAAGTTCTATGGAAATGAAGTGAACTTTTTAGAGTGTACTAAGGGCTGGGACCTCTGAATTTCATCTCTCCTCCGCAATCTTAACTCTCATTCCACGGCAGCGTCATTGTGCCATCTCTCAGCAGGTGTCTTTTTCTTTTAAGTTTTTAAAATAAGAGCTTTATTGAGATAGAATTCACATACTATAGAAATCATCTATTCAAAGTGACAATTCGGTAGTCTTTAGTGGCCTAAAGAATGTGGCCTGATGGTACAGAGTGTCCACCACAATCAATTTCAGAACACTTAGAGCCCTTCTGTGGCCTTTGACAAATGCATCGTCATATAGCCATCACCACAGTGGGTACAGAACAGTTCCATCAGCCTACAGTTCCCTCATGTGGCCCCTTTGTAGTCAACCCTTTCCCCACCTTGTAACTCCTGGCAACCACTGATCTGTTTTCCATCCCTAAAGTTTTTCTGTTTCCAGAATGTCATATACATAGAATCACATAATATGCAGCTTTGGGAATGGCATCTTTCACTTAGGAAAAGGGGTTTAAATTAATCCATGTTATCACATGGATAATAAAAATATTCTATGACTGAGTAGTGTTCCATTATATAGATATGTGTCTCTTTTATTCACTTACCAGTTGAAGGACATCTGTTTCCAGGTTTTGGCAATCATGAATAAAGTTGCTATAAACATTGACTTACATGTTTTTCTTGTGTGTATAAATGTAAGTTTCCATTTCTCTTAAGTAAATACCTATCAATAGTTGCTGGGTCCTATGTTAAGTATGTATTCAAATGTATAAGAGACTGCAAAATTGTTTTTTACAGTGGCTGTACTGTTTTGCATTCCTACAGCAATGTATGAGAGTTCTAGTTGTTTCCCACACTTGCCAGCATTTGATATTATCAGTATTTTCTGGTTTGGATTTTGTTTAATTTTAGCTATTCAAATAGGTATGTAGTGATATCTTACTGTGGTTTGTTTTTGTTTTGTTGGGTTTTTTTAGACAGGGTCTCACTCTGTTGCCCAGGCTGTAGTGCAGTGGCATGATCTCACCTCACTGCAACTTCTGCCTTCTGGGTTCAAGCGATCCTCCCACCTCAGCCTCCTGTGTAGCTGGGACCACAGGCATGCAACACCACACCTAGCTAATCTTTGTATTTTTTGTAGAGATTGTTTCTATGTAGCTCAGGCTGGTCTAGAACTCTTGGACTCGAGATCCACCTGCCTCAGCCTCCCAAAGTGCTGGGATTACAGGCACCTGTCCTTATTGTGGTTTTAATTTCCATTTCCCTGAAGACTATAATGTTGAACATCTTTTCATGTGCTTATTTGCCATCCATATAGTCACTTTGGTGAAGTATCTATTCACATTTTTTCACAAAGATTTTCTTGTATGTTTCCTTCCAGAAGTTTTATAGTTTTATATTTTAGGTCTGTGATCCATTTTCAATTAATTTTTGCAGAAGAGGCTAAGTTGGGCCAAGGGTCATTGTTTTATATGTGAATATTGAGTTGTTCTAGCACTACTTGTTGACAATGCCTCCACTGAATTCCTTTGTACTTCTCTCTCTCTCTCTCTCTTTTTTTTTTTTTAAGACGGGGGTTTCATCATGTTGGTCAGGCTGGTCTTGAACTCCCGACCCAGGTGATCCGCCTGCCTTGGCCTCCAACTTGCTTGGATTACAGGTGTGAGCCACTACGCCAGGCCTATACTTCTCTTAAAGACCAGCTGATTATGTTCCTGTGTTTTGGTCTATTTCTGGACTCTGTTTTGCTGCATTGATCTTGATTACTGTTCCACGCCGTCTTGATTACTGTAACTTAATGGTAAATCTTGAAATCGGATGGTGTTCTTTTGAAAAATTGTTTTGGTTATTCTAATTCCTTTCCCTTTTCATATGAATTGTAGAATCAGTTTTCCAATATTACAAAAATAATAGTAATAAAGCCTGTCGCTGGGACTGGATGGAAATTGTGCTGAACCTGCATATCCGTTTGGGGAGAACTGGCTCATTAACAATAGCATGTTGTTCAATCCATGAACATGGTGAGCCCCTCCAATTATTTAGGTCTTCTTTCTTTCCCCAGTGTTCTATCGTTTTCATCATACGGTAGTAAGGTTAGATTTATACCAAACAAATATTTCCCTTTTTGCTGCTATTGTAAATAGTCCTCTCCTTTGTTTTTAATAACTTCAGTTGTTCATTGCTAAGATATTGAAATGCAGTTGATTTTTGTGAATTGATTTTGTATTCCATGACATTACTAAAGTTATTTATTAGTTCTAAGCAGGTTTTTAGTAGATTCTATGAGATTTTCTACATAGATCATGCTGTCTACCAGTGAAGTAGTTTTTGTTTCTTCCTTTTCAATCCATATGCCTTTATTTCTTTTTCTTACCTTATTGCAACTTCCAGCAGTATAAGAATGTGAGAAAAGACATCTTTTCCTTGTTCCCTATATCAGGGAGAAAGTGTGCAGTGTCTCACCAAGAATGATGTTAGCTGTGGGCTGTTTTGTAAATGCGCTTTCTCAGTTAAGGAAATTCCCTCCTATCCTTGCTAAAAGTTTTTTCTTTTGTCATGACTGGATACTGAATTTTGTCAAAGGCCTTTTCTGCCTCAATTGATATGACTATATGCCTTTTCTTGTTTTGTCTGTTCATAAGGCATATACATTTGAAATGTTTGGAAATATTGAGCCAGTCATGCATTCCTGTGATAAACCTTAGCTGTGGTGCATTTCTACTTCTTTTTTTTTTTTTTTTTTTTGAGACAGAGTCTTGCTCTATCGCCAGGCTAGAGTGCAGTGGCGTGATCCTGGCTCACTGCAACTTCCGTTTTCTGGTTTCAAGCAATTCTCCTGCCTCAGCCTCCCACATAGCTGGGACAACCACCATGCCCACCTAGTTTTGTGTACTTTTAGTAGAGACGGGGTTTCACCATGTTGGCCAGGATGGTCTTGATCTCTTGACCTCGTGATCCACCTGCCTTGGCCTCCCAAGCATTTCTACTTCTTATATATATTAGATAAGATATGCTAATATTTTTTGGAGGGTTTTTGATAGCCTGGGGCTTCTTTGTAAGCCTGTTAATGACTCAGTCCACTTTGGGTCCTTTCTTCTGAAATACTCACATATTCATAGTCCTGGGTGGGTGATTCTGAATCCTGTCTTTCCTCTCTCTGTGGCTGGTGTTCTTTTGGCTTTATCCGTTTCTCCTTTTTGCCTACATGTTAGAAAAACATGAAGTTACACAACTCATTTCAGGAACAGCATTTGAGTCCAGTAGCTAGCTTCGAATTGATTTGCCTCACATTATTGAGGTCCTACCAAGTGCTCGGTCCCCGTTGTCACCTCAGAACAGCTTACTTGCATTTATCTGAGCAGTCTAGTTCTCCATTACCAGGCACATGAGAGGAGGCATTGCCCAGGACACACCTTCTGTCCATGTCTCTTGGTGGCCTCCGTTTCCTCCAGAGGCGACCAGATCCGGGCAGAGCCAGAGCCTGCTTCATGGGGACTGAAAGGCCTTCTTTGTCTTTCCACCGGAGGCTTCTGCAGTGGCCAGGCCTGAAAATGACGCTGCAGGGGAAATGTCGGGAGTGGCCAGGTTCCGGCCTAACAGGTTATTTTTAAAAAGCGAAGCCCAGCGAAGTGGGGAACTTTCTAGAGGGAGGTCTTTGTTTTCACTTGGCACTCAGATGACAAAAAAGTAAGAGAGCAAAGGCGAATGTGGGCGGCAGGGCAGGGCTGACTCCACGCCTGCCTTCTGCGGTGACTTCAGCCCGACCTGGGGCTGCAGGTCACAGTGATCATGCCTTTGAACTGGGGACACGGTCGAGAAGGCTGGAAGAGGAAGAAAGGGGCAGGGTGTCCACGCCACAGCCCCGCTGTCTGCCTGAGTAAGGGCGGTCCACCACAGCTGGCTTTTTGCTCCCTAGAAAATGCAGCGGCCAGAGAGCCAGTGGGAGAGGTGTCAGAGCTGGGTCTGGGGGCAGGAGAGGGGCCGGCTAATGGCCTGCAGAAGTGGCGAGGCCTGCATCCTGCTTGCTTGGCTCAGCAGTTTAGTTTGTGGAAGAGTTTGCACAGACAGAATCCCCAGCTCAGTGTGAGCATATTGTCGACAATCTGAGGAATCTGGGCAGCAAGCCATCAGGGAGTTTTTTATAGGTCTCATCAGCTATCTGTACCCTCCTATAGGAGGTGACACTGCTCCCCACCTCCACTTGCAGCCTGAGTCCCTGGAGGCTCCCTCCTTTCCCATCCAGCTCTCCTCCCACCCAGCTCTCCTCCCACCCAGCTCTCCTCCCACCCAGCTCCCCTCCCACCCAGCTCTCCTCCCACCCAGCTCCTCTCCCACCCAGCTCTCCTCCCACCCAGCTCCCCTCCCACCCAGCTCTCCTCCCACCCAGCTCTCCTCCCACCCAGCTCTCCTCCCACCCAGCTCCCCTCCCACCCAGCTCCTCTCCCACCCAGCTCCCCTCCCACCCAGCTCCTCTCCCACCCAGCTCCCCTCCCACCCAGCTCTCCTCCCACCCAGCTCTCCTCCCACCCAGCTCCCCTCCCACCCAGCTCTCCTCCCACCTAGCTCCTCTCTCACCCAGCTCTCTCACCAAACAGTATAGCTTAGCCTCACCACCAGCTCCTCTCCCCTTTCCTCTGGCCAGTATTCTTATTTCAGTCCCCATTACCTTGGTGGAACTGACATAGCCTCCTGCAAACTGACTTCTGTGTCTCTTCTCTCCCATCTCCAGTCCACCTGCTATTATATTCATTTTCCTTAAGAACAGTTCTGCTGTGGCTCTACTCTGCTTAATAACCTTCACTGGCTCCCCATTGCCCATCTGGCACATCTACTTCCCCAGCTTGGAATCTGATGCCCCCTGCATCCTGCCAGCTTTGCTTCCCGTCACTCCTCTTCACATATCTGTGCTGTTTGCCTAACATGGACAAAAACCCTCTTGTTCCCAAATATGCCCTTGTGCTTTCCCGCCCCATGCCTTCTGTGGCTGTGTTCCCACTGCCAGAAGACTCCGCTTCCCCTTTTCTGTGTGTTGGAATCCTCTGGTGGAAGCCACACCAGGGCCACATGTACTCTTCATAGGGGACGTGCCTGACCTCTCCTTTCTCCCGGCATCATCCCTCACAAATCGTAGCTCTCTGGTGGCATTTATCCCATTTTGTCACTGTTACTTGTGTCTGGATCTTGAGCTCCTTACCCTTTAGGACAGGGTCCATGTCTGAGCTGTCTTCATGTCGTGCTCATCTCCTGGTGATCACACGCTGCACTTAGAGGAACCATCATTTTTGTGCTACTTTGTGCCAAGACCTTAAACATTAGCCCATTTGTTCCTCCCAACAAACTTCTAAAAGGAGTTTTAATACCTAACATCTGGCCGGGCGCAGTGGCTCATGCCTGTAATCCCAGCACTTTGGGAAGCCGAGGTAGATGGATCACAAGATCAGGAGTTCGAGACCAGCCTGGCAAACATGGTGAAACGCTGTCTCTACTAAAAATATGAAAATTAGCCAGGCATGGTAGCAGGCGCCTGTAATTCCGGCTATTTGGGAGGCTGAGGCAGGAGAATTGCTTGAACCCAGAGGCAGAGTTTGCAATGACCTGAGATCGTGCCACTGCACTCTAGCCTGGGCAACAAGAGCAAAACTCTATCTCAAAAAAAAAAAAAAGAAAGCCAACATTTGTTGAGCATTTACAGGAGCCATACCAGACTGTTCTAAATATTTTGCCTGAGTTGGTTCATTTAATCCTTGTATTAACTCTTTGTGGTACATTTGATTATTATCCCCCATGCCAAAGATGAGGAAACTGAGGCCCAGCGGGGTGAACTGGCCCGTTCTGTCTATGCTGAGTGACCATCCGACTTGTGGGGTTATACTAGCTGTGCTTCATTGCTCCTGTTCGGCCTTCCTTCCTCTGATGGACCGCCAGCCTTTGGCGAACACTCAGACTTCCTTCCCCAGGCCCCACGGGCACCACGCAATGATCGCTCATTCTCAACAATAGTGATTCTTCATCCGTGACACGTGCTTACAAATCCCTTAATGGCTTTTGTATTCTTGCTTTGTCATTTTTTATCCCAGACTAATTTCTTCTTCCCAAGCTGGCACTTATTTGGCATTGTGCTGCCTGGGGTTTTAATCAAGGCGGCCTACACCCACACTTTGAAGCTCAACAGGCACTCACTTCTGGCATGTACCCAGGGCGGGGTGCCAGGCCTCCTGCTGGGACTGGCCCCACAGCTTCTCCAAATACTTATTTCCCCAGGATAGTGGCCAAAGAGCTCAGCAGCAGAACTATTTCTTCTGTGTCAAGGTTCCTTAGGATTCTCTTTGACAAAATGGCAGCCAGTCTCATGCCTAATGCCAAGCACAGAGCTGGATGTGTGTTTAGCCCTGAGTAAATAATCCTTGAATAAGTAACTTCATTCTCCTTCCCTTTTTGAAAGCTGGGGTTGCCTGACAGGGAAACCAGGAAAATTCTGAAAACAAATCTATCAGTTAGCTTTTGCTGGATAACAAATACAGATATTACGGTGGGGTTACTCCTGAGAAATCCATTGAAGTTAAAAGTACTGTTAGGTGAAAAATGCATTAAATACCGTCAATCTACCAAACATTATCGCTTAGCCTCGCCACCTTAAACATGCCCAGAACATTTACGTGAGCCTACGGTTGGGCAAAATCATTTAATACAAAGCCTATTTGGTAATAAAGTATTGAATAACCAAGTCATATATTGATGTTGTACTGAATGCATATTCACTCCACACCATTGTAACGTTGAGAAATCGTTAAGTTGAACTATCTAAGTCCAGCCATCATAACTGTAGACACGAAGCCTCGGGGCATACACAGGAAGAGTGCATTACTCACGTGACTGAGGTCAGCTGGGGATGGCTCTGCTCGTTATAAATCAGGCTTGCTTCTGCGGCTGGGGGTTGGCGGCTGGCTTCAGCTGGGGTAACTGCACTGGCAGCACTGTCCACATGCCTCTCATCCTTCTGAGGCCAGCAGGATAGTAGCTTGGGTAGAGAAAAGTGATCAGATGCATTGTCACAAAGCACACGGTGGGTGGTATGAGCACACCAAACTCAAAAGGACCTGCCTCTGCTGTGGCACTGAGAGTGGCCGCATTTCATTTTAAGAAAAATCAATATGTAGATGTATTTGCTGGTAGAACTCTGTTCAAATGGAGTCTTACAGGAAACATAAGTAAATGATTCTTACAAGCTGCTCGGGGTAGGGGCCAAGAGGAGGGTGGAGGCAGTTCTGTGTCTTCCTACTGCTCCTTCCTGGTTTCTGTGGCTACTGGAAAACCAAAACCAAGGGCTCTCACAAGTGCCTCTGTCACTGGCATTTTTCATTGACCTGAAGCAGAGCGTGGAGGCTCCAGGCCTGGCACTTAGCTCCGTTAGAGCCTCTAGTCTGCAGAGGATTCAGAACGAACAGAACTCCAGTGATGTGGTATGGAGGTGGGCGTTTATCAAGCCATTCTCAAGGTTTGGCCACCAGGGTGCTTTCATTGTATAATACCCAGTAACAAGCTTCTCAGAGGTGACAGCTGCCTTTTAGCTGAGCCATCCCAAGAGTATCTGCTGAGGACACATTTTGAAGCCAGACCCCCAGGTGCAGGTCACAGATGGTGTCTCTGTTACACCTGTGCTTGTCACTGTCCTCTGGATAGATTTCAACTTCCCCGCGCAAAGAATCAAAACATGAAACCCAGAACAATGCATATGTTACTTTCAATAGAGGCCAGATAGGACCTTTTTCTGTTTAAGTGCTTGTTCCGTTAACAGATCACTCAGAAATGTGGTGGTGTAAAACAACCACTTACTCTCACCACTTCTGCAGGTCAGGAATTCAGGCAGGGCGCAGTGAAGGCTTGTCTCTACTCCTCAAAGCCTGAGGCCTCAGCTGGGAAGACTGGAAAGCTGGGGCCAGAGTCATCTGAAGGCTTATGGTCTCATGTTGCAGTTGATGCTGCCTGGGGGCCTGATGGGCCATGACAGCTACACACGGCCTCTCCAGTGGTCTAAGCCTCTCGTAACATGGTACCAGGGTTCCTAGGATGAGCAGCCTGAAAGTGTGGATCAGGAAGAACTGCTATCATAGGCTGCGACCTCACCTTGCAGGTCACGCTGTGTCACTTCCATCACTTTACAGGTGGCCACCAAGCCCTGCCCAGCTTCAGCAGGAGAGGAAACAGACTCTGCTTCTTGGTAGGGAGTGGCAAGGTTCTGCAAGAGCATATGAGACTAGACGTGTCGCTGTGGCAGTTTTTGGAAAACACAGCCACAGGACATTAATGCAGTATTTGGTGTTCTTTTATACCCCATTACCAAGGCCAAAGGAATCAGAATATCTGGTTGCAGAGATCTTGTTTTAGCTTCTTGCACTCTCTCCCAGACCACTGAGCCCTTGGGGAAAGGTTTTTTCTTTCTTTTTTTTTAAAAACAGTCTCACTCTGTCATCCAGAGTGGAGTGCAGTGGCATGATCATGGCTCACTGCAGCCCCAACCTCCCAGACCTCAAGCAATCCTCCCAGTCTCAGCCTTCCGAGTAGCTGGATCACAGGTGTGGGCCACTGCACCCACCTAACTTTGCAACTTTTTGTAGAGAAGGGGTTTTGCCATGTTGCCCAGGCTGGTCTCGAACTCCTGAGCTCAAGAGATCCGCCCACCTCAGCTTCCCAAAGTGTGGGGATTATAGGCATGAGCCACTGTCCTGGTCTGGGAAACCTTTATAATTACAGCTTTGCTGAAAACAGAGGCCGGAGGCGCAACGCGGAGAAAAAACATTGAAGAGGCAGGAAGCGGGCTGGGCGCAGTGGCTCACGCCTGTAATCCCAGCACTTTGGGAGGCTGAGGCGGGTGGATCACGAGCTCAAGAGATTGAGACCATCCTGGTCAACATAGTGAAACCCCGTCTCTACTAAAAATACAAAAAATTACCTGGGCATGGTGGCACGTGCCTGTAATCCCAGCTACTCAGGAGGCTGAGGCAGGAGAATTGCCTGAACCCAGGAGGCGGAGGTTGCGGTGAGCCGAGATCGCACCATTGCACTCCAGCCTGGGTAACAAGAGTGAAACTCCGTCTCAAAAAAAAAAAAAAAAAGAAGAGGCAGGAAGCAGTGTCAGTGGTTAAAAAGCAGACTCGGCCGGGCGTGGTGGCTCACGCCTGTAATCCTAGCACTTTGGGAGGCCAAGACAGGTGGATCACGAGGTCTGAAGTCCAAGACCAGTCTGGCCCATATAGTGAAACCCTGTCTCTACTATAAAAAATACCAAAAAAAAAAAAAAAAAATTAGCTGGGGTGTGGTGGTGTGTGCCTGTAATACCAGCTACTCGGGCGGCTGAGGCAGGATAATCACATGAACCTGGGAGGCAGAGGTTGCAATGAGCCGAGATTGTGCCATTGCCCTCCAGCGCTGGCAACAGTGTGAGACTCCATCTCAATTCAGAAAAGCAAAACAAAAACAGACTTTGGAGTCAGATAAAAAGGACTGAATCCCAACTCTGTGCAGACAGCTCTATGGCCTAGAGCAGGTGCCTCTCTGTGCCTCAGTTTCCTCATCTGTAGAGTGAGGGAAATAATAGGGTTGTCTAATAATTTGACAGCCCTATGCCTGGCACATGATAAGTGCCTAATGAGCATTAGCCATTTATGAAGGTAATTATCAATACTGGTATTATTTCAGCTCATTATAAAAAAGCTTACGTCTCAGGAAGGGCCATAGATCCTGCACCGCTCCTGCCGGTACTGGAGAAGATTTCTTGGCTATCACATCCTTTTATTTTGTTATTGACAATCAGAGAACCTGCAGGAAACATCAGCTCCTAACCCTGTAAGAGCCAGCTGGGTATAGGGATTTCATCTGTCTGATTTTATCCAGTTCTCCAGGTCTTAGAATCTTGACTTTCCAGGGGGAAAAAAAGAGAATTTGATGTATTTTCTATATTTTTCCCATTTGTAAATTAACAAGCTACATTTCCTTAATTCTAAGGTCCCACCAACCTTATGACCATTGATTTTTATAACTTGCTCGGTTGGTGGGGGAAGAGTGCCAATCTGTTGTATAGTACATTCCAATCTCAACATTAAAATGTCGAAGAAAAAGGTACAAATTGGAATTAAGGAAACACATTGAGATCACTAGAATTTAGAAGTCTAGAAAAACACAAAGGAGAAAATTAGAACTCCTCTTAATGAGGTTGGCTGTGTAATTTAGCAGGATACTTTCGAGCAGGAAAGGAGACCCTTTGGCCAGCTGGTCACAAGTGTAAAACGGATTTGGCCTGGCGTGTTGGCTCACACCTGTAATCCCAGCACTTCAGGAGGCCAAGGCAGGTGGATCACCTGAGGTCAGGAGTTCGAGACCAGCCCGACCAACGTGGAGAAACCCCATCTCTACTAAACATATGAAATTAACCAGGCGTGGCGGTGCACACCTGTAATCCCAGCTACTTGGGAGGCGGAGGCAGGAGAATCGCTTGAACCTGGGAGGAGGTTGCAGTGAGCTGAGATCATGCCATTGCACTGCAGCCTGGGTGACAAGGTCAAAACTCCATCTCAAAAACAACAACAAAAAAAGAAAAAACTGGGATTTGCCTGAGCAAACTAGAACATCCACTCCCCTAATCTAAAAGCCTGAGTTAAAACCAGTGCTAACCACAGTTAATGCACCAGGCATGTGGCTTCCATTTTCCTCTCAGTGGTTGTATTTTCACACCATGAGTCTTTCTTAACCTTTTTAATATTTGTCATGAATATTTTCCCAGGTTATGAAAGATTATTTAAAGCTACATTTTTCATAATTACAAAAGTAGTGATATTTTTAATACAAAATTTTTAAAAATACAGAAAAAGCACGAAGGGGAAATAATCACCCATAATGCCATGACCCCTCAAGAGTCGCCATTAGCATTCTGTCTAGAGCATTTTTTAATATATTACCTGTGGCTTTATTAGGGTGATGGAAGGGGTGGAGTTACCACTTTGATGCCTGATTTTTTTTCTTTGCTAGGGGAACATTTTTGTTAATGACTACAAAGCCTTGTGTCATAAGGCTGAACTATAACTATAATTGATCTGATTCACAGGGACTATTTGATAGCTACAGGTTTTCTCATTTTTCCACTTTTGTAACACTGTCATGACTATTCTCACAAATACATCTTGGCCTATATGCACGAGTGTTTCAAAATTATTAGAGGTGAAGTTACTGGGTCTAAGGATATGCATTTTTTAAAGATATTTGATAATTTAATGCTAAGCCCAGAGGTGCCTTTTAGACCAAAGCTCAACTGTCAACCTTTAAATGTTAGTAATTTCACTACTTATTGTATACTTTATAATGTACTGTATCAACACTTTGTGTCAAGCACAGCGCTTTACATGTGTTGGCTGATTCTATCCTCATAACTTCCTTATAGAGTATATTAGCACTTTTGTTATATGGGTGAAGAAACTGAGACTTGCTATCAAGTTAAGGCCACACCGCTAGAAAACGGCACCCATCGAACTGAGTGGAAATACAACTGGGATTCCGTAGAAATGAACTCGGGTCATGGCTGGAGGGCCCGCTCCCTGGCTGACACCTATGAAAGTTTACAGACTTCCCCAGACTAGCTGAGCAGCCATTCCTAGAAGCCCAACACTTAATCTAGGTAGGAACAAAGGTCTGGTCCCACTGAATAGGACAAACACGTAGTGAGCTCTTTTATTGAGTGGCTGCTTTGTGAGACCCGGAGAAAACCCTGCCTGGATATGAATAAGTTTCGTCTCATGAAGGGCCTGAGACCTGGAAGGAGCTGTGTCAGGAGCTAGAGAAAGGGTCAGTGGGAGAGGTGCCCTCAGTGTGGGGACCAGGAGGGCAGAGAGTGCTTCATGGAGAATCTAGAACTATATAATACCAGAGCCGCGGGCTACGGGAGGCTATTTAAATTTAGATTAATGAAAATCAAATTAAGAATTCAGTTCTTTAATCACACTGGCCCATGATAAAGGCTCAGTAGTCACAGGAGGCCACAGGCTACCATATTGGCCAGCACAGGCAGAGAACATTTCCATCACCACAGAAAGTTCTATTGGAATCTGATGTAGAAGCAGGAGTTTGGCAGGGGGAGGTTAAAGGGTGGAGAATGACCTGCAGTCCACTTCAATTCGGACACGAGTCACGCACGGGAAAGTGGAAACAGACGTGGACAAGGGAGTTTGGGGCTATTTCCTGGCGTGACCTGTGAGCCTCATTTTGTGTGGACTTCCTATTAGACCTCTGTAGCGTTTAGAATAGGAAGTCTCATTAGATCAAACACTTACGTGTCTGTCATGCCCGTAGCCTCTTCTGAGGAAGCTGTACCAGTATGTGGCATCACCTAAACCCGAGTCAAGCTGGCTAGGGCAGAGACTGCATTATCCATAGCCTGGGCACACGGAGGGTCTGAGGGCCATGAAGTGACTGGTAAGTAGGGTCCTCCCCTTGGAGAGTTGCTGGGTCCCCGAACACATGGCAGGGACATAGGAGCAGGAGGGAAGGATGCCCACTTGTGGCTACACCCTGAGAGGCGAGGAAGGCCCTGCAGCTCTCTCCAAAGCCTGCCTGAGAGGTGCTGAGAGGGCTCCCCACACCCCTTGCAACAAACCCCATTGCCAGAGGTGGCTGGAGTGCAGCCACCAAGTCCTCCCTGCGGCCTCAGTGTCCCACTCCTGGCTGGAAGGAGTCAGTCTTATCTTAGTGTGAGCCCTTTTGTCCTTTTTCTGCTTACGTAACGGCTTTGTTTGGCTTGTGAAATTACACCATGCCAGGCTCTTGTCTCTGCCAAGTGGATCCAAGCAGCTTGGTGGTTTTCCCCGTCAGTGCTGATCTTCATCGCTCTGGAAGGTGTCTTCTGTTCTTCGTGGAGACTGGGATGAGTTCTGTTCAGCCACCCTGCTCCTGAGAACTGTGACAGCCGCCCACCTGTCCCCACTCAGACGCCAGTCAAGTTTCACTTGACTGCATCAGACACGCTCCAGCAGGGCTCTGTGCTGGTATTTGCACTGGTGACTTTTGTGAACCTACAGCCTCACTGTTTGGCCTGGCTCTGGTCAGAATGTGAACTATTGCACTTTTATTCCGTTTATTGAAAGGAATCAAAAATCATCTACTCTTGGGTGGAGCCCCATTGTATATAACACTGCTCAAATTGCTTATTAAACAGAACTATTATTTTATAGTTTTAAAAATAAAAATAATTTCACAACTTTCTATCATTCCTTTATGGGAAGAGCAAGGACTGCAAATCTGAATCCTTTTCCTCCTCCGCTCTTTTGTCTTAATGCCTATTAGTTCTTTCTCTAAGCTTATTGAGCAGTGTATTTTTTTTTTTTGAGACAGGGTCTCACTCTGTCTCCCAGGTTGGAGTGCAGCGGCATGATCTTGGCTCACTGCAACCTCCACCTCCTGGGTTCAAGTGATCCTCCCACCTCAGCCTCCTGAGTAGCTGGGACTACAGGCATGTGCCACCATGCCCAGCTAATTTTTACTTTTTGATGGAGATGGGATTTTACCATGTTGACTAGGCTGGTCTCAAATTCCTGACATCAAGTGATCTGCCCACCTCGGCCTCCCAAAGTGCTGGGATTACAGTTATGAGCCATCATGCCCGGCTGGAGCAGTGTATTTTTTAAAAACCTTAATGGAAAATTTCAGCCATGCACGAGAGTAGAGAGACTAGCACAGTGAACACTTGTGTCCCTGTCACCCGACTGCAGCAATCACCAACTCACAGTCAGTCCTTGGGGAGCTATGGTTCCGCTGCTGTATTATCGTTCAACAGCTTTTTTGAGATAAACTTAATATCAGAAAAGTCGTTGCTTTTTTTTTTTTTGAGGCAGAGTCTCATACTGTTGCCCAGGCTGGAGTGCAATGGTGCAATCTCAGCTCACTGCAACTTCTGCCTCCCGGGTTCAAGTGATTTTCCTGATTCAGCCTCCCAAGTAGCTGGCATTACAGGCACCTGCAACTATGCCCAGCTAATTTTTTTGTCATTTTAGTAGAGAAGGGGTTTCACGATGTTGGCCAGGCTGGTCTCAAACTCCTGACCTCATGATCCTCCTGCCTCAGCCTCCCAAAGGGCTGGGATTACAGGTGTGAGCCACCATGCCCGGCCACATCATTCTGTTTAAGTGTGTGCAGTTCAGTGATTTTTGGTAAACAGACCTGTGCAGCCATCACCGTAATCCAATTTTTGATATTTCTATCACCCCCTAAAAGATCCCTCGGACTTGTTTGCTCCATATTGTTGTGAGGCAGATCCTGCTCTGTTTCATCTCATCTGCGGACATTACAGCATGTGTTTCAACTGTTGGCCATCGCATTTGCTTGTCATGGCGGTGCCTGCTCAGACAGTCCCCATTCTGCTCATGCCTTTGTAAAAGCACGTGTTCAGGGCTGCTCCCTGTTAGAAACCCCAGAGAGGCCGTGGAGAAATTTGTATGCAAATGAGGCGGTACTCAGCCTGCTGGCCATTTTTACGGTGGAGAATTCAATTCAACCCCAGATTCAGTTCTGTATGACTTACTGACAGCCTATTATGTGCTGGGCACTAGCGACACAGCAGTGAATCGTGTAGTCTCTGCTGTGTGCACACAAGGTCAGACTGTGCAGACAGTTGATGATGCAGTGGTTAGAGGCAGCCTTGACGGGATGTGAGCTTAGTAGGCTGCTGTCTCCAGCTGAACCATCACTCTGGCCTGATCTATATCTGAGTGTGTGTGTGTGTGTGTGTGTGTTACACAGCTTTCCTGATGGCCCTGTGCTTGAGTGTAAAGCCCCTACTTGTTTCAGGATGAACAGGAAGGTGTGAACGTGCTGCTCTCATCCGACATGTTCGAGATGAGACTTCACACCAGGTTTTGTGCTTTGTTTTGTTTTTTTTGAGACAGAGAGACTCACTCTTGCCCAGGCTGGAGTGCAGTTCTCTGCGCATGCCCCACAAACTCCTCCCAGGTTCAAGCGATTCTCCTGCCTCAGCCTCCTGAGTATCTGGGATTACAGGTGCCCGCCACCATGTCTGGCTAATTTTTGTATTTTTAGTAGAGACGAGGTTTCGCCATGTTTACCAGGCAGGTCTCGAACTCCTGACCTTATGATCCACCTGCCTTGGCCTCCCAAAGTGCTGGGATTACAGGCGTGAGCCACCGCGCCTGGCCAGTTTTGTGTTTCTTTACTTACCTCTCCTCTAGGCAGTACCTGAGCCACAGAAGGCCCTCAGAAAAAGGATACAAAATTGCGCTTGTTTATTCATTCATTTATTCGACAAATATCTCTGGAGAACTACCAAGACCAGCTAAGCCTAGAGACCCCCACCCAGCTGGGGCTGAAGGCATTAAGAAGCAGCCAGCCGGGCGTGGTGGCTTATGCCTGTAATCCCAACACTTTGGGAGGCTGAGGAGGGCAGATCACGAGGCCAAGAGATCGAGACCATCCTGGCCAACATGGTGAAACCCCATCTCTACTAAAATACAAAAATTAGCTGGGCGTGGTGGTGTGCGCCTGTAGTCCCAGCTACTTGGGAGGTTGAGACAGGAGAATTGCTTGAACCTGGGAGAGATTGTGCCACTGCACTCCAGCCTGGGGTCTGGCGACAGAGTGAGACTGTCTTTAAAAAAAAAAAAAAAAAAAAGGCAGACACCCAAAAAGAACAGCAAAGTGGGACTGTCCAAGGCCCAGCAGCCTTCCAAGCTGAGAGCCCCAGGGGATTACGGCATTCTGGCTGAGGGCCTTGGACAGATTCTGACCCATATAGTTACTCTCTCAACAGGTGAGTCTTATTAACAAACAGGTGCTCTGTGTTTTCTCATAGACCCAAGATAAACAGGCTAGGCAGCTGGTGCCTGCTTACCACTGATCAAGGACAAACTAGAAAGTATTCTCCACGAGGGAGCCATGGGGGCTGGGTCACATATTCCTGCTTAAAGAATTGTTTTAACCGGTGTGTGATATACATATACTGTTTTGCTGCTGCTTTTAGAATGCCCCGAGCAGTTTTCCACTTGGGGTGGGACTGGCTAGGTTTTCCTTGCCATCGTTCTCAGCAAACAATATGATTTATTGTACACGTTAGGACTTGTCCCAGTAGAGAACCAATATACCATTCAAGGCTTCTGGCACTGGGAGAACAACAGTGAACACAACAGATTCATGGGACTTCCATTCCGGGGTGACAGACGGTAAGCAGACAGGTGAAATATACAACTTGCTGGGCGGTGATAAGGGCTCTGAAGCAGAATGATTAGATGAGTGGCGTCTACAGATGAGAAAATATTTACCTGTTTAAAAGGCAGAGAATAAAACTACATGTACGGTATGATCCCATTTTTGAAAAGAGGAAATAAGGCTGGGGCGGTGGCTCACGCCTATAATCCCAGCACTTTGGGAGGCCAAGGCGGGTAGATCACTTGGATCAGGAGTTTGAGACCAGTTTGGCCAACATGGTGAAACCTCGTCTCTACAAAATACAAAAAAATTAGACGGTATGGTGGCGCATGCCTATATCCCAGGTACTTGGGAGGCCGAGACAGGAGAATCACTTGAATCCAGGAGGCGGAGGTTGCAGCGAGCCAAGATTTGTGCTATTGCACTCCAGCCTGGGCAGCAGAGCAAGACTTCATTTCAATAAAAAAAAAAGAAAGGAGCAAATAGTACATATGTGCTTAAAATATACATACATGGAAAGAAATACCACCCCAGAGGAGGTGGTCATCTCTGAGAAGCAGCATTATGGGTAACTTTTGTCTGCTTAAATAGACACTTGCCTGAGTTAATTTCTATAATGAGCAAGTATTGGTTCTATAATTATATTAACACTTTTATTTTTTAAGCAAGAGATGACAGGAGCACCATTTAGAATGGGCTGACGCTTGTAAGTCGGAGTCCCAGAGCCCTGTTGGCCAGTGTGAGGGAATCAGGCGGTTAAATTATGGACTTTGCTTCTGTCACTCGGCTGTCACTGCTCACTCCCAGGTGGGACCAGACAGAATTTAGGCCCTCAACTGAAAAGAGGCCAGAAGCTGGGCCCGGGGGCCCTGCATACAAGCAAGCGCAGCCTGCAGTGAGGCAGCACAGCGGCTAGGAGCAGGGACTGTGAGCTTCAGCCAGGGTCCTAGGCCTGGCTTCTTAACCTGGCTGTGTGATTTGAGCAAGTTACTTGACCTGTTCTCAGTTGCCACATAAAAAGAAGATGATAGTGGTACTTACCTCCTAGGACTGTCATGATGAACTTAGTGAAAAATTTTAGGCGGGGTGCGGTGTCCCTCACGCCTATGATCCCAGCACTTTGGGAGGCCGAGGTGGACAGATCACTTGAGGCCAGAAGTTTGAGAGCAGCCTGGAGAACACTGCTGACATTGGAGGTGACACCCCGTACCCTGGGTGGGTTGGGTACGAGCTCAAGCCACTGCGTTGTTTCAGCCCAAGCTCGCTTCTTGAGGCCTCCCTCTGGGATATGCTCCCTCAGAATAGCCTTGGAGTCAGGCAGACCTTGATTTGCTTCTTGGTTCCACCACTAGGTGATCTTCCTTGGGCAAGTGACCTGCCTTAGTCCTCAGGCACTTTCTTTAGATCTGTGAATTGGGCAGAGTCCCACCTGGCCACAGTTGTAGGGTTAAATGCACCAGGACTGCACTGCCTGCTACCTAGCAGGTGTTCAGTAGATGCTTGCCACTCCCTCTTGCCTCCTCACCACGGGCTTCCCAAATTACCCCCTGGCCTTCCACACCTTCTGCCTGCCTCAGCTAGTGCTTCCTTCCCCCGCACCTCCCCGAGGCGTATCCAATGCCCTGACCCCCCAGACATCTTCCCCACCCATTTCTCTCTATGCTGTTCACTTTTGCTGACCACATGTCAATAACCAGTGATGAGGCTGGGGCACGCTTTGGAGCCACATCCTCTAGGGCGAGGGGCATTACTGCTATGGCAGCAAGAGGCAGCAGTCCTGAAGAGGCTGCCTGGGTCCCAGCTTTGGCTCCAGATGCACTGGTTGTGTGATCAGCTCAAATCACTCGATATCTCTGTGTCTCACTTCCTTTCTGTACAGTGAGGAGAGTAATAGTGCCTACCTTGTAAGTTTTTGAAGATAAGATGGGCACACAGAGCTTGGTGTGCAGTGCGCGTACAGTCAGGGTTAGCAGTTGCTTTTGCTCTTCTGGTCACCCTGGGATTCGTGCTGACAGCCAGAGCACATACCCTTTGCTTTGGGGTTCAGTCCTCACATTCCCCATCCCCACATTGTGTCAGCTGCCCTTGGTCCTCTCTGACGACCCACTCCTCCAGGGATTTTTCTTGTGGAGATGACCGTCCACAGCCCTGTCCTTTTGCTCCCGTGGTTGTCTAAAGATGTGTCCTGTCGTGATGACGAGAGTGAGCGGCAGAAAATGCTGTTTGTGCTATCTTGAAATTTAGTCACAAAGGAAACCAGGAAATTGTGTCAGACACTGAAAGAGAAACAAGCTAGAGAAAAACCATTGCTTGCTGCAAACCGGACTTTGTGATTTCAGTTCAGCGCAACACAAGCACAAGCCACCAGGTTTGCTACACAGTAAACGCCAGCGGTGCTTCCTGCCCTTTGGGATGCAGTGACATTTTTGACAAGTGGAGCTTTCTAGCCCAGTCTTTCTAAATGTGATCTTGATGACCTTTGCCAGTGAAATACAGTGGTGACTTGGTCATAGGATTGTGGTACAGACCATCTGTCTGGGCTGCAACTGTTGTGAGAAATTGGTTAGGGATGAAGAGAACGTGACCTGGCTAGAATAGCAAGCAGAGAATGTTCTGGCCCCATCACGAGCCAAGAATCTGGAACCTGAATCTCTACATCACACTCAGGCCCTGGTTCAGAGTGAAGGTCTCACCATGAAGATCTCTCATGCTTCTGGCAGGGGGAGGGAAAGTAACCATTTTGAAATATGCCAGAGCACTCTGTTTTTAACAAAGCTTGTCCTCAAGAGAAACAATTCTACCACAGCCTTACCAATTGGGATTTTATCAGAGCCAAACCAACCTGCTGGAAGGGAAACACCTAACTCCAGCCCCTTCTAGACATCCTATCTCACCTAAGGCGGGTACGGGTACTTAAAAACACTTACAAAATTTACATCCCAGGGGCACAGACTTGCTAAAACTGAGCCCTAATAACAGAAATACAGAATGCTTCCTCTCTCCCACACCACTAAAGGCCTACTCACCAGAGCTCCTTTTACTGTACATCATATCCAGCTGTTAACAAAAATGTGTGAAGCATATAAAAAACACAGTTTGAGGCTGGGTGTGGTGGCTCACGGCTGTAACCCCAGCACTTTGGGAGGCTGAGGCGGGTGGATCACAAGGTCAAGAGATCGAGACCATCCTGGTCAACATGGTGAAACCCCGTCTCTACTAAAAATACAAAAATTAGCTGGGCATGGTGGCGCGTGCCTTTTCCCAGCTACTCGGGAGGCTGAGGCAGGAGAATTGCCTGAACCCAGGAGGCGGAGGTTGCAGTGAGCCGAGATCGTGCCATTGCACTCCAGCCTGGGTAACAATAGCGAAACTCCGTCTAAAAAAAAAAAAAAAAAAAAAAAAGAATTATCCAGCCCCCAAATGTCAGTACTGCCAAGGATGAGAAGCCCTGGGTTAAATAAAGCCATACTGGGGAATACAATATAGCCAATGAAAAGAAAAGGTAAATTTAGGGCCAGGCGCGGTGGCTCACGCCTGTAATCCCAGCATTTTGGGAGGCTGAGGCGGGTGGATCACAAGGTCAAGAGATCGAGACCATCCTGGTCAACATGGTGAAACCCTGTCTCTACTGAAAATACAAAAAATTAGCTGGGCACGGTGGTGCGTGCCTGTAATCCCAGCTACTCGGGAGGCTGAGGCAGGAGAATTGCCTGAACCCAGGAGGCAGAGGTTGTGGTGAGCTGAGATTGCGCCATTGCACTCCAGCCTGGGCAACAAGAGCAAAACTCTGTCTCAAAAAAATAAAAGGTAGATTTATATTTGTATGACATTGTAGATCTCTAAGACGTGTCTTTTTTTTTTTTTTTTTTTCCATAAAGACGGGGTTTCATGATGTTGGTCAGGCTGGTCTTGAACTCCCCACCTCAGGTGATCCGCCCACCTTGGCCTCCAAAGTGCTTGGATTACAGGCGTGAGCCACCACATCCGGCCAAGACGTGTCATTTTAAAACTGCTTTTTTGAAACTTAATATGTGATTCTTACAATGTAAGAACATAAGTGGATTTTTAAAACTGCTAAATATCCCTTCCCCTCCCCAGAGCCAAGCGCTATTACCAGCTTCTTATGAGTCCTCCCAGAATTGCCCCCAGCATGTTTGCACCGCCTTATACTCAGTGCAAACATAGACTCTGGTTTTTGATATGCTGCAAACAGGTGACTCTGCTGTGTGGTTACATTCAGAAATCAGGGGTGCGTCATTGAGCTGCCCAAGGCCTGGAGCTGAGGACCTCTGACATAGTTCTTAGATCACTCTCCCTCCCTTGGGTTTCTATGGCATTTTCATTTGTAGATACAAAAGAAAACTATGTGCTGGGGGGATAGAACATGGGCAGGATTCTGAAGTGAGATTCTGATGTCGGTGAGTGAGACAGGGCCTAGAGGAAGCCTAGGGGCAGTTTTCTCAGCCAGTGGGTGTTAATGATGACTTTAACAGGGAGGGAGGCAAGGGTAAACCCCCTTACACTCAGTGCAGAATTCAGACAGACCACACTGGGAGCATACCACATTCCTCTTCCTGCCTGCCCACTGCCAAGCAGTCGTTTACAGGCCAGGTTCCAGGCACTGAATCCTTCCACATCTCCAACTTTCCGAACAAGCCTGGCTTTCATCTCCTGGGGATTTCCTGGAAAGCCTCTTAGAGTCGGGTCTGAGACTTTCGATGTTGGCTTTCATCGGTTACTTCCCCTCCTCCTGCCTTCCCTCACTGAAGTCTCATTCCAAGGTCAGATGCAGGAAGAGTGGGGCTGGGTGACCTACCAGCAGCCAGCTCAGGGCTTCCAAAACAAAAGGCGTCTGGTGCCGTCTTCAGCCAGACATAGGCACACTCAGTGGACCAAACTTGGCAGAGGCACAAGGGCTCAGGTCTGCTGAGAAATGCTCCCAAGCCTGGGTCGCAGGAGATCGGGTCCCGAGACCACCAGACACCTTTCCATCCCAGCTCAGAAGTGGGCATCTCCTGAAAACTGCCTTTTGAGTTTTCTCTAGAGATTTTTCATCTTAGACATCAAAATCTCATTTCTTTCTGGAAGGATGCTCAGCCAGGCTGAGAACCTGGGCACACTTTCCGGCACCTGGCTGGCTGCAGGTGTACACTCAAGCTGCAACCAGACGAGTTTGGTCCCAGAGTCCTCAGGGGACCATCACCGTTCTCAGGTCATATCAGCTTGCTTCATCTCTTGTGAAACCCTAACTCTCTGGTCCTTTGAAAAACTCATCTCTTCTTTGTAGTAAGAATTCTGACAGAATGGAGTCAGAATGGACACAGGTTATGGGGAGTGATGCTTGTAATCTGGAATTCTAACTCTGCAGTGTCACGGCTGATCTATGGAACCCTGGCTGTGAGTTGAGGGCTCTTGCAGTGTTACTTTTAAATCCCTGGATCTGGTTGGGTGTGGTGGCTCACACCTGTAATCTCCGCATTTTGGGAGGTTGAGGCAGGTGGATCACTTGAGGTCAGGAGTTCGAGACCAGCCTGACCAATATGGTAAAACCCTGTCTCTACTAAAAATACAAAACTAGTCAGGCATGGTGGTGCGCACCTGTAGTCCCCTCCACTTGGGAAGCTGAGACAAGAGAATCACTTGAACCCAGGAGGCAGAGGTTGCAGTGAGCTGAGATCGTACCATTGCACTCCAACCTGGGCGACAGAGCAAAACTCCATCTCAATAAAATAAATAAAATAACCCCTAGACATTTATGTTAGATATTTTATTTTCATGACAGTTCAATATAAAAGAACAGATTATTGTGAGAGGAGCTAGAAGGCACCGTAAGAGGCAAGTGGACCATTTGCACAGCATCACAGTGAAGTGACTGCACAGAGACACCATCTTCCAGGAGGCTCCCAGCCTCTTCTCTCTGTCCTGCGGTTAGAACCCCGACCTCCAGTCCTCTCTGAATTCAGGAGTGTTTGTTCATTTGCTTTTCTGAAGTTCCCGAGAGGGCTGGAGCTGGCGGGAGGAGGGCAGGGATTCGCGCCCCGGCGCCTTTTCCCCGCTGCTGTCTTGCTCTTCCTTTCTTCTGCTTCACCTTCCCTTTAACTTGCATATTAAGTTCAGGGGTACATGTGCAGGTTTGTTACATAGGTAAACTCATGCCGTGCAGGGGGTGGTACAGATTATTTTGTCACCAGGTATTAGGTCTCTAAATAATTCAACGAGACCCAACGTTTGCAGACATTACCTACTGGCTTTAGAATAATTTCTGAAAAGTTTGGTGTCAGTCAAATCGTTTTTTTTTTTTTTTTTTAATTTAATGTGCTGGCTATTTGAAGTTGGAATGAATGAATCCTTGGGAAAAAAGGAAGCTTTCAGGAGCACACATAAGCACACACCATGCTCTGGGTTAGTTAGATCTTCTAAAATCGGGCTTTGCTAAAGAAGAGCATCTGGTAGACAGCCATAGGCCAACTGAAGCGAATTCAGGAAGTCTTATTTCATGAGCAAGTTCCTCAGAGAGGTTTGCGATGTTTCCGACAGAGCAGGAATGTGCTTCCTACTACACACTGCTCAGCCCCGGCAGCTCGGAGCTGGAGACCTGCACACGCCCCTTCTGTTCGTTGGGAAACTTCCACAAGCCTGTGTCACCATGAAAAAGAGATAACTTTGTCTTCAACGAAGAGCTGGAAAATTATTTTAATTTTTGCATTATATGAGATGCAAAATTGCCTCTCTACCTTGGAATCGCACTGCATAATCTTACATTATCTGCATTTTCAGTCATGCTTTGAATAAAAATACTTGAGTTCATGAGGAGGTCAGGTAGGGCTGGGAAGACCCCTAGACTTCCCCCATATAGATGTGGCCTGGAAGTAAGACTGATGCACACTCCTGAGTAAGGCAGAGGTGTGAATCATCGTATCACCATGGCTGGCTAGCTTCAGAGGAACCGAAAAAAATGAACACGTGTGTTGCTCATTAGCCAAGGGAAATACACAAATGCTGGGGGACTCCACGTGTCAGAGCCACACTCTCCATGCCCACTTCAAGCTTCCAGCTGAGGGTTCTCTTTTAGCTGTTGTACCTATTGCTGAGGATCTTGACAGAGGGCTAGCAACATGCAGCTTTAGAAAATAAGAGCACTGGCAGGGCGCGGTGGCTCAAGACTGTAATCTCAGCACTTTGGGAGGCTGAGGTGGGTGGATCACGAGGTCAAGAGATCGAGACCATCCTGGCCAACATGGTGAAACCCCGTCTCTACTAAAAATACAAAAAATTAGCCAGGCGTGGTGGTGTGTGCCTGCAGTCCCAGGTACTCAGGACGCTGAGGCAGGAGAATTGCTTGAAACTGGAAAATGGAAGTTGCAGTGAGCCGGCATCACGCCACTGCACTCCAGCCTGGCGATAGAGCGGGACTCTGTCTCAAGAAAAAAAGAAAAAGAAAATAGCATTTTAGCATCAACTGTTTTAACTGGAGTTAGATCAATTTTGTGATTTGATTTGATTTGATTTGATGTTTTAGAGACAGAGTCTCACTCTGTCTTGCAGGCTGGAGTGCAGTGACATGATCATAGCTCACTGCAATCTCGACTTCCTAGGCTCAATTGATCCTCCCACCTCAGCCTCCCAAGTAGCTGGGACCACAGGTGCATGCCACTGCACCCGACTGGTTTTTGTATTTTTTGTAGAGGCAGGGTCTTGCTTGTTGCCCAGGTTGGTTTCCTGGTTCAGGTGATCCACCCACCTCGGTGGGATTGCAGGCGTGAGCCACTGTACCAGCCCCCATTTTGTGATTTGATTCTCATTGTAGACTGCCATTTTCTATTGCGGAGTATTTCGGCAGTAGTACGGTAGTTGAGGGGCCACATTTGAGGCTGAGGCTGGTAGTTCTTTACTACGGGAGCTATCCTACTTATTGCACCCTGGCCTCTACCCACTAAAGGCCAGTAGTAACCTCCTCACCCTGCAAATTGTGTAAACCAAAAATGTATCCACACATTTGCAAATGTCCCATAGGAAACAAAATTGCACACCCATACACATACACCCCCCACACACACACTTTTAAGAATCACTGCTCCGGCCAGGCATGGTGGCTCACGCCTATAATCACAGCACTTTGGGGAGCTGAGGCAGGCAGATCACTTGAGGTCAGGAGTTTGAGACCAGTCTGGCCAACATGGTGAAACTCTATCTGTACTAAACATCAAAAAATTAGCTGGGCATAGTTGTGTGCACCTATAGTCCCAGCTACTAAGGAGGCTGAGGCAGGAGAATCGCTTGAACCTGGTAGGCAGAGGTTGCAGTGAGCCAAGATCACGCCACTGCACTCCAGCCTGGGCGACAAAGCAAGACTCCATCTCAAAAAAAACAAAAACAAAAGCACTGCTCTATATGAAAGAGGCAATATAAAATAATAATCTTTTTCCTAAATTGGTTGTGCATTTAAAATAGATTCCTGGCTGGAAACAGTGACTTACGCCCATGATCCCAGCACTTTGGGAGGTCGAGGCGGGTGGATCACTTGAGTTCAGAAGTTTGAGACCAGCCTGGGCCATATGGCAAAACCCCATCTCTACTAAAAATTAAAAAAATTAGCCAGGCATGGTGGCATACGCCTGTAATCCTAGCTACTTGAGAAGCTGAGGTGGGAGGATGGTTTGAGCCCAGGAGGCAGAGGATGCAGTGAGCTGAGATTGTTTCTCTGCATTTCAGCCTGGGAGACAGAGCCAGACCCAGACCCTAACTCAAAAAACAAAATAAATAAATAAAACAGATTCTAAGATTTTACACACATTGAACCCTATATGTTACTGGTTTGTTCCCTGCATGGAGTAGACAAGGATTTCTTCTCTTTGAGTGGCCTTCACAGAAACCCAGACTCTTTCCTCACTCAGTGTACTCTCCTGTACTCATGTATTGCTAATAATATTCATCTGATTATTAATTCAGTAGTAGGCCATTAATTCTGCATGTTCACTTGTGTGATGATATTTCTCAGTGAGCTCTCGCCGCATGCCCTGGTGGGGAGCAGCCTCACCTCTTAAACAGGATTCCCACACAGTTGAGCACCTGTCCACCTTTCTCAGCTTGTTCTGATGAGAGGTGACACTTCTGGGAGGTAGAAATGCATCTGGCATGGAGGAACTTTGTCCCTAGAGTTTGAATCCAGACAGACCTGGATTCAAATCCTACTTCTACTGCTTACAAGCCAGACAGCCTTGGACTCATGAGTGAACCTGCATGCCTCAGTTTCCCCATATGACCATGGGGATGATTTTGCCTACCTGGCAGGGTTCTGCACGGCCTTAGCGAGATCACATATGTCAGACATCAGTAAATGGTAACTTGTTCTCTGTCAATCGATAGCTGTAGAGTATGAATTGCCATCTTTGTAGGTCAAAAACCATCCAATATTGGCAACTTCATACAGTTGGACCTAATATGGAAAGTCCAGATCACGCTGTATTCTCTGCTCTGTGGATGTCCAGCAGATGAAAGGGATGGTTCCGCTTCGTGATTTTCCTGTTTTCCTGCTCCTTCTGAGGAGGCTTCCTGCTGGCACAATCTAAGAAACTTCACAGGGGACAAAGTTGGTCTCTGCCGTCATCACTGTTCACAACCAGCATTAGTTTTCAAATTGTGTACCACAGGAAATTGCACTTTTCCAGCCAGTTTGTGTGGAAATAACCGTTGTATTGTATTAATAGCAGTTCTTCCACTCGGAGCTGCCAGAGGGATGCTTGGTTTGTTTTCTGTTGTTTGTTCTCTGGGTACCTGTCTTGGACAAGCAGTTCTCTGATGTCTCTGTATTTATGTGGCAGGTCACCCTGCTGATTGCCTTCATCTGCGTGCGGAGCTCCGTGTGGACCGACTACAGTGCCTACAGCTACTTTGAAGTGGTCACCATTTGCGACTTGATAATGATCCTCGCCTTTTACCTGGTCCACCTCTTCCGCTTCTACCGCGTGCTCACCTGTATCAGCTGGCCCCTGTCGGTAAGAGCCTGGTCCTGTCCTCTGCGTGCGGAAGTCAGGATGCTAGCTGGCGCACTGAGACCTGACGGAGTTTTTCCCGTCTGCCCATCTCACCTCTTTAACCACTCTTTGCTGCCTCTGCCCTGAATTTCCTATTTGGTGGACATCTCTGCCTGATGTCTGCTGGTTTTTAAAACTCACTTTCCAGCTACAGGAAGGCTGTGGATATTGCTCCAGTGCTTATTTTCTCAAGCGACAGAGAATGGCTGTGTGTGTGTGTGAGTTGGGAAGAGAAACACAGAAGGAAATTGTAGGTGAAGATGATGGGTATTGATGCCGTGTGAGGATTCGATGATAGGATTTTCTGGCTAAAAGGGACTAGCGGGGGCTGAGGAGGCAGTCCGGAGTTGCCAGGCTCTTTCTTCCCACTCCATTATTTTTTTAAGTTTCATTGATAGGCAGTTCACATGCCGTATCATTCACCCATTTCAAGTGTACAATTCAATGGAGTTTAGTATATTTCCAGAGTTTTATAACCATCACTATAGTCAATTTTAGAACATTTTCATCATATCAAAAAGAAATTCCATACCTTTTAGCTATCACCTCCCTACCACTCATCCATTCAGCCCTAATCACTAATCTCCTGTCTCTAACATTTTTCTACTCCGGACATTTCTTGTAAATGGAGCTGTATGTGGTCTTCTGTAACTGGCATCTTTCACTTAGCAGGATGTGTTCATGGTTCATCCATATTGTAGCAGGTACCAGTACTTTATTCCTTTTCTTCTTTTCTGAGACAGGGTCTCACCCTGTCACCCAGCCTTGAGTGCAGTGATGTGACCACGACTCACTGCAGCCTCAACCTCCCAGGCTCAAGTGTTCCTCCCACCTCAGCCTCCTGAGTAGCTAGGACTACAGGTGCATGCCACCACACCTGGCTAATTTTTGCATTTTTTTTTTTTTTTTTTTTTTTACAGAGATGAGGTTTTACTGTGTTGCTCAGGCCGGTCTCAAACTCCTGGACTCAAGCAATCCTCCCACCTTCGCCTCCCAAAGTTCTGGGATTACGGGCATAAGCCACCATGCCAGCCCTTTTTATAACCAAAGATTATTTCATTGTATGGATTGACCAGATTGCATTTCATTTTTCATTCATCATCAGTGGATCTTTAGGTTGTTTTCTTTTTTTTTTTGAGATGGAGTTTCGCTCTTGTTACCGAGGCTGGAGTGCAATGGCGCAATCTCGGCTCGCCGCAACCTCCGCCTCCTGGGTTCAGGCAATTCCCCTGCCTCAGCCTACTGAGTAGCTGGGATTACAGGCACGCGCCACCGTGCCCAGCTAATTTTTTGTATTTTTAGTAGAGACGGGGTTTCACCATGTTGACCAGGATGGTCTCGATCTCTTGACCTCGTGATCCACCCGCCTCGGCCTCCCAAAGTGCTGGGATTACAGGCTTGAGCCACCGCGCCCGGCCTATTTTATTTCTTATATCCTTTTTATTTCTGTAAGTGCAGTAGTGTTTCCGCTTTCATTTACATCTTTCTCTCTCTCTCTCTCTCTCTCTCTCTCTCTCTCTCTCTCTCTCTCTCTCTCATCAGTCTAGCTAAGGATTTGTCAATCTTGTTGATCTTTTCAAGAACCAGTTTTTGGTTTTGTTGATTTTGTTTTTTATTGTTTTCCTATTATCTTAATAAATTTTGCTTTTATCTTTATTATTTTCTTTCTTCTGCTTGCCTTAGGTTTAGTTTGATTTTCTTTTCCTAGTGTCTTAATGTGTAATATAGTTTGGATATCTGTCCCCTCCAAATCTCATGTTAAAATGTGATTCCCAGTGTTGGAGGTGGGGCCTGGTGGGAGGTGTCTGGATCACGGGGGCAGATCCCCTATGAATGACTTGGTGCCATTCTAGTGGTAGTGAGTGAGTTCTTGCTCTGTCAGTTCCCGTGAGAACTGACGGTTAAAGAGCCTGGCACCTTCCTCCCTTCTCTTTCTTGCTTCCTTCCTCTTGCCATGTGATGCCTGCTCACCTTCACCTTTGCTTCAGGGAGTAGAAGTTCCCGAAGCTCTCAGCAGAAGCAGGTGCCGGTGCCGTACTTCTTGTGCAGCCTGCAGAACCAAGAGCTGAACACAACTCTTTCTTTATGAGCCAGCCCTGGATATTCCTTTATAACAATGCAAACAGACTAAGATGATGTAGAAGGGTAGGTTATGAATTTGAGACTCCTTCTCCTTTAATATTGGCATTCAATCTCCCCCTGAGCACTGTTACTAGTATTCGTAGTTCTGGTATATTGTGTCTTTCTTTTCTTTTCTTTTTTTCTTTTTTTTTTTTAATTGTCGTTGTTAATCAATGAGAGCTTCTTATGTTGCTCAGGTTGTCCTTGAACTCATAGCCTCGCCTCCTCAAGCGCCAGGACAACTGGCCGGAGCCACCATGGCTCCCGTGTGTCTTTATTTTCATTCATCTCCAGATATTTTCTAATTTCTCTTGTGATTTTTTTCTTTGAGCCATTCATTATTTGGGAATAAGTTGTTTAATCTCTACATAGTTGTGTATTTCCCTAATTTCTTTCTGCTCTTGATTTCTAATTTGATCCCGTTATTTCAGGAAACATATTTTACAGTCCTTCTACCTTTATTGAAGTTCGTTTTGTGGTCAAATATCTGGTCTAACCTGGACGGTGTTCTATGTACATCTGAGAAGAAAGTACTTTTGTACATTTATTATACTTTTGTTGGATAGAGTTTTTATAGAGGATGTTTAGGTCTCGTCGTTTTATGGTGTTGTTTGAATCTTCTGTTTCCTTGTTGACCTTCTACCTGGTTGTTCTATACACTGATGAAAGTACAGATATTGAATTCTCCAAATATTATTTTTGAATTGTCTTTCTCCTTCATTTTATCATTTGTTTCTTCATGTATTTTGGCTCTTTTATTAGGTGCATGTATGTTTATGATTGTTGTATCTTCCTTACGGATTCAGCTTTTCATTATTAGAAAATGTCCCTCTTTATTTCTAATACCTTTTTGTGTGTCTGAGTCTCTTTTTAGACACCTGGCTTTCTTTTCTTGCTGTTTGCATGCCATATCCTTAGCTCTGAATAGAAAGTTTCCCTCCCGTAGACAGCACATCCTATAGTTATTTCTTGTTTTGCTTGTTTTTTAATCTGACCTGACCACCTCTGCATCTGTATTAGAGTAACTGTTCACTTTTAACATCATTACCCACTGTTATTTTGAGATCAATTCCTTTTGTTTCTAAGTTCTAAGGCCCCTTTCAAAGTTATGGCATTTTTTTTCTGCTTCTTTTGAGAACAGATTCCTTTGGGCTTCCCTGATGCTAATGCTGAACACGCAAAGGGGAGAACAAAAGCTCAGGGACAAACACCAGAGTGGGCTGTGTGGGGAACGAAAGCTGGAAGGACAGACTCAGCCACACATTTTTGGCTGAGAAAGTATTTAGATACTTCCAGTTATGATTCTCTCAAGTTGGTTTTCTCTGTCCCATGTCATCCTCCTCTCCTCTCCTCTCCTTTCTTAATCGGTGAGAATCTTGGAGGTAGGGAAATTGCAGTTCCTCATCTGCTCTTTAGTTAAAATCTCTATCTTGTAATATTCCTTTCTAGTCACTAAGGGAGAGACCAGGGTCTTTGACTTTACATAGCTTTGAGAGGAGCCACAGCTTTAAATTGGAATGCTTTTCCAGAATGTAATAGCTGCCTGCCCTAAGGGACAGAACTTCATGAAGGAATGATTTCTAAATTCTCACTGAAGACAACTGAGAATGGATGCCTGCTGGAGGAGTAAGCACTGGAAGTGGCCCAGCCTCAGTTCTTCTCTGATCTGGCATTTAATGGGGAAGAGGAAGGGTAAGGTGGAAGCGTTCCCTCGCTACTGGAAAGCCCAGTCTCATCCAGGGCCTGCAAGGATGCTGGTTCATCATGATGAGTGAATGGGTGGAAATGCACGACCCACGCGCCAAGGCGAGAAGCAAAGGTGAAGCCAGTCCTGCCAGTGGGTTCATTGGCAGAGCTTGGCCAGAGGGCACCCTTCTGGAGATGAGAGATGAGGGAACAACACAAAGAAAAGAAAGCGGGAAGGCTCAGGAGTGAGAAGCCGCGGCACCACACGTCCACGGGCTCTTCACACAAGTGCACTGACCTCGTTCTAGAGTCTGAGTCTGACCTCACTCTCGGGGCCATTCACAGAGTGGGCAGATGCTCCCGTCAGCCACACAAGACCAGCACATTGTTAGCCCAGAATGTTTCTGAAGCAGAAGAGAAGGGCACACATCTCTTTAAGGCACTTTGCTTCTTAGAGCTGGAGCTCTGTTTAACTCTCCAGCCTGGAAGGTGCAAGAAGCTCATTTGCTTTTTGTAGCTTTAGCCAGAGGTCAAGCCCTGTCCGCAGATTGCTCTCAGGAGTGGAGGCATCCTTAGTGGCTATTCCTGCTCACACGCGAAGCTTCCTTTCTCTCTCCTCTTCCCTTCCTGCCTGCCCAGCATCACTCTGTCTTGCTCAGCCTCTTCCTGGTCAGCCCCCACGCTGGCTGGCTGCGAGCTGCACTCTCATCCCATCTGCGTATTGCAAGGGGAGAAGAGGATGCGTCACTCCCTCCCTTTCTTTTCATCTCTTCCCAAACCAGGAATGGACCACCCTACCCACTTCTTTGCTTTGTTTCTGCCCCCAGGAACTTCTGCACTATTTAATCGGTACCCTGCTCCTCCTCATCGCCTCCATCGTGGCAGCTTCCAAGAGTTACAACCAGAGCGGACTGGTAGCCGGAGCGGTGAGGACGTTTTGGGGAGCCTTTAGGAATGAATTCATATTTAAAATGCTCATTTTCTTCCTGATGGGGGAAGAAAAGGGGTTGGTTTCTGGAGCATTCCTTTCACAGAATCGTCAATACCTACCTTCATCCAGCCATCAGCTCTCTCCAAAGAGCGGCGAGTGGAGGCTCACAGTCCCAGAAAGTGGATTGTCAGGGCTGCCGGCAAGTTCCGAGCCCCAGCAGCCTGGCCTGTCTCTTTTACAGCCACTGCTGCAATCGGGACCATGCAGGTTTTAATTCACACACCGACTCTGATCATTTGTTTGTTGGCTGCCTCAGCCTTATGCAGAGACAGATTCTGTGGCCTCTTTTGGGCCCGGGGAATGCACTGTGATCAGTTAGAGATATCTGCCATGAGTCTGGACTTTGTCATTCCTGATTTTTAACAGGATTCAGGCCAGGAAATAATCCTCCTATATCTTTCAGGCAAAAACGGAGCCATTTGCTGGCCATAAATAGAAGTGGATGGAAATATACAAAAATACAGTGCTGTGAGATATATACATATATATATATGTTTATATACATACAGACATATGTACTGTTTTTTATAGATTCATTGATTCCTGTCATCTGATTCCTGATTTAGCTAACTGTTTATAGTTCAGTGGCCTGTGGGCCAATACTGATTTGCTTCACTGACAAGCAGATGAGATTTTAAAAATGAGTTTTAAGAAAAGCTCTCTCAAGCCAGATGTGGTAGCATGCATCTGTAGCCCCAGGCGCTCGGGAGGAATTCGTGTGCCCAGGAGTTCCAGCCTGGCCTGGTTGATGTTATGAGACCCCATGTCTTAAAAAAAAGAAAAAGAGAAAAGGAAAAGCTCTCTCGGTATGTGATGCTCACGGTACTTCATTTACACATATTACCAAAATCTTCCAGACTTTGGCCCGGGAGTGGGTTTGCTCCTGGAATTCCACTGAGGGATGGGGTTTCTCCTCTGAAGGTCAGCATGGGGGCAGAAAGTCGCTGTAGAGAGTGGTCAAAACTCCCAACACTGACGCTCTGCATGGCCCTTCCACAGCCCGCACTCCGACCCCTCTGCCCCTTTCCCTGCCATCGCTGAGGAGAGGGATGGTTGCCCCTGCAGCTAACGCCTGCCCGGTACAGAGCAGGCTGGTGGAAGAGGCACGCAGCAGGCTGTGCCCACTGTGTTTTAGGGCCCACATGGGGACATTCCCACTGTGTTTGGGAATCCGCTCAGCCCTGGAACCTCTATAGCTAACATTCATCATATGCTGTCTGTGTGCCTGGGACCAAACCTAGGCCGTGGGGAAGTCAGAAGAAAGTTTTAAAATATGGCCCCTGCTTATAAGAAGTGGTCATCTAGCTTAGGAGACAGGACACATGGAACAATTAGCAAACAAGGCACTGTGGTCTAGAATAGCATTCTGTAGCGATATAATAAACTGTTCAATTATGCAGCGCAGACAGTTGGGGGCCGGGATGGTATATAAAGTGCTAATTGTGCAGAACAGACAGTGAGAGGCCGGGACAGGCTCTAATAGGCTAATTATGTGCTGCAGACAATTGGTACAAAAGGAGCCCAGGGAAAGGAACCCAGGGAAGCAGTGGGTGTGCGCTGGTGGGGGCAGCTATTTATGTAAAGCAGCAGCTGGGCTTGAAAAGAAAACCAAACCTTGTTGAAATCCTACCCTTAGCTGGCTGCCCCTGCGTCATTCTCACCAGACGCCAGAGGCTGCTGTGCGGGTCCGAGCACACCTAGGCACCTGTATGGCAAAGCATGGACTCTGGAGCCAGGCTCCCTGGGCTCCCATCCCATAGCTGGCCCTTGCTGGCTCTGTGGCCTTTGGCAAAAGAGTTGACCTCCCGTACCTCTATTTCTTTGGCTGTGAAATGGAGGAGCGGGGTGGGTAGTCCTAGCGCCCAGCCAGCAGAGCTGTGAGGGTTAAAGGAATCGACATACCCGCAGGGCCTAGCACCCTGGCAGCTCTGTTCTAAGTGGTAAGTTTTCACCATGCAGCTGCCTGTGTTATTCACAAGTAAGGCAAATGCCTGCAGGCTTCAAAGCCCAGAGATTCCAGAAGAAGCTACCTGCCTCTCCTCGACCACTTGATGAGGCATTCTTCCTCTCATCGAACCTGAATCCTCATCTACAAGTGAGGGGCTGGGCTAGCTCAGCCTTCTTCACACGTGAGCGCCGCATGGACCCTGAGAAAGGGAAAGGGTGCTGCCTTGACTTTGTTTAGGCTCATATTGTTTAATATGTACAAACATAACCCTAGAGGTAAAGGCCTCGGCTTCTGGCTCTTACGCAGCTCTCAAGCCAGAAGCCGGAACCGAGCAGAAAGCCATTGCAAATGAAATGCAAACACCGCCACCACGAGCCATGGAAACGTTCAGATTTTCTAAACCCAAACTAAAATTCCACCCTTTTCTTCTCTGCTTGTCCAGGAGAATCAAAGTCCATTGGTTTAGCGCCAGCTCGCTTGTAAATGGAAACCCAAACTGGGCCCTGAAGCTGCCAGGAATGAAGACAGAGAGGCCTGGCTGCCAGCCCTGACCTGGCCCAACCTGGGGGACCGGGGCCAGCGGCTGGGCCTCTCTGGGCTTCCTCTCTGTACCTGATCAAGGACAAGGTGGTTGGGTTAGATGACTCTCCAAGCTCCTTTCTGTCCAGAGACGTAAAGGGAACAAGCACAGAGATGAGAAGCAGGCAGGATTGCCCAAGGATTTGGCCCTATGGCTGTGAACGTCCTCTCCCCTCTCTCCACTGCAGATCTTTGGTTTCGTGGCCACCTTCCTCTGCATGGCAAGCATGTGGCTGTCCTACAAGGTTTCCTGTGTAACCCAGTCCACAGGTGAGTTCTGGTCATCTGTGCACAGAGGCTCTCAGGAACAGGGGGCAGGTTGTTCTTGACTTCGACCATAGGGATGAACCCTGCTGTTGAGAAGGATGTCCCAAGGGAACTTTAGAAGTAGTACTAGAGCAAAGGGGGTGGCAGAGGGGAGATGTCACCCCAGAACCTCTGCTCACATTCCCATCTCCACATGTCCAAGGATGCCCTAACACGTCAGCCTCAGGTGGCCGAACTTTTTTTCTCTTGCTTGCTTTTTTTTTTGAGACAGGGTCTCACTCTGTTGCCCAGGATGGAGTGCAGTGGCACGATCTTGGCTCACTGAAATCTCTGCCTCCCAGGTCAAGTGATTCCCCTGCCTCAGCCTCCCACATAGCTGGGACTACAGGCATGAACCACCACGCCCAGGTAATTTTTTATATTTAGTAGAGGCTGGTCTTGAACTCCTGACCTCAGGTGATCCACCCACCTGGGACTCCCAAAGTGCTGGGATTACAGGCAAGAGCCACTGCGCCCAGCGTCTTTTTTTTTTTTTTTGGATAGAGTCTCGCTCTGTTGCCCAGGCTGGAGTGCAGAGGCGCAATCTCGGCTCACTGCAACCTCCACCTCCTGGATTCAAACAATTCTCTGTCTCAGCCTCCCGAGTAGCTGGGATTACAGGCGCCCGCCACCACACCCAGCTAATTTTTTGTATTTTTAGTAGAGACAGGGTTTCACCATGTTGGCCAGGCTGGCCTTGAACTCCTGACCTCATGATCCACCTCGGCTTCCCAAAGTTCTGGGATTACAGGTGTGAGCCACTGTGCCCAGCCCACTCTCTTTCTTTACTTTACTTTTTTTTTTTTGAGATTGGGTTTTGCCCTGTTGTCCAGGCTGGTACAGTGGTACTATCACAGCTCATGGCAGCTTCCACCTTCCAGGCTCAAGTGATCCTCCAACCTCAGGCTCCTGAGTACCTGGGACTATAGGCATGTGCAACCATGCCTAATTTCATTTTTTTTTTTAAGAGATGGAGTCTCACCGTGTTACCCAGGCTGGTCTAGAACTCCTGGGCTCAAGCAGTCCTTCTGCCTCAGCCTCTCGAAGTGCTGAGATTAGAGACATGAATCACCACGCCCAGCCAGCCTACTTTTTCTTAAGTTTTCTAATGACACAGATAAAATGTAGGTTTTTAGAAAATACAGATAACAAAAAATATTTTTAGTAGAAACCATCTGAGCCAGGGACAGCGATGTGTACCTCTACAGTCCCAGCTACTCAGGTGGCTGAGAAAAAAGACCAACCTGAGCAACACAGTGAGGCTCTGTCTCTAAAAAAAATTAAGAAAATGCCATCTGTCGTCACACTACCCAGAGGTAGCACTGAGTGTCTATCCTTCCAGTATTTTCTCTTTTTTCGTATCTGTTGCTTTTCTTAAAAGGATCAAACTCGATGTGCTATTTCATCGCCTGTTCTTTTCTCCTGCTTAGCCACCTAGCTCCCATTTTCCCAGCATCATTAGGAATTCTCAGTGGCTGCGTGGGTCGCAGCGTTAAGCCCGTGGCGTGACTGTGCAGTTTATTTCACTCGCCTCCTATTTGAGGGCATTACTCATGGAACCCTACACTCAGCCCATGTAGCGCAGGATTCCACTCAAGAATTGTCTAGAACAGGCAGATTCATAGAGACAGAAAGTAGATCTGTGGCAGCCTGGGGCTGGGGGGAGGACTCAGGAGTGACTGCTAATGAGGATAAGGTTTCTTTTTGAGGTGACGAAAAGCTTCTAAAATTGTGGTTGCACAGTCCTGTGAATATACCGAGAAACACTTTACATGGGAGAATTGTATGATATGTTAATTATTAAAATATCCCAGTAAAGCTGTTGAAGAAAAAAAAAAAGAATGATTTTTTAAAAGTAGAGAATATATGGAAAAAAAGTTAATAGGTGATATCTAACAGGATAAATCTATAAATACGGGTTTTTAATATAAATACAGCATAAATCAGTTTTTTAAATTATGGAAGAATCACCAAAAGAAACAGCTAAAGGGTTTAAGGGGGTTACTGCTGAGGAGTAAGACTGAGGTTGGGGAGTGGAACGGGAGTCTCCTCTGCACTACTGAAGTTTTTGTCTTTATTAGCAATGTATTTTTAAAAAATAGAATAATCGGCCAGATGTGGTGGCTCATGCCTGTAATCCCAGCACTTTGGGAGGCTGAGGTGGATCACGCGGTCAGGAGTTCAAGACCATCCTGACCAATGTGGTGAAATCCCGTCTCTACTAAAAATACAAAAATTATCCAGGTGTGGTGGTGTGTGCCTGTAATCCCAGCTGCTCCGGGGCCTGAGGGGGGAGAACTGCCTGAACCCAGGAGGTGGAGATTGCAATTAGCCAAAAATCACGCCACTGTACTCCAGCCTGGGCGACAGAGCAAGATTCTGTCCCCCCTCAGACCCCCCCACCAAAAAAAAGAATAATCTCAGTGACAGTTGGCGCTGAGTGGAAGACACAAGTCCTCCCCCAAGCAGAAGTTGGAGTCAAGCCTGCGGAGTGTGGCTTGTGCCCATGGCCAGCTGTCCTGACTGCCATTTCCTTCCCAAGATGCAGCCATCTGACGGAGGCCACAGCCCCTCGGCCCCTCAGGAGCTTTGCAGAGAGGAGGACATGTACCCCAGGTGAGGCCTCTGGACCTGTGTTCCTGTGCCAAAGTCCTGCCAGGCTGGTGGGCACCAGGAAAGGCCTGCACCCTCTTCCTGCTTTCCCAGGGAGCCAGCTCCCTGAGCACCTGAGCCAGCAGGAAACTCTTTCTCCCGCCTTCCGCCTTCCGGGGGAACATTCCTCCCTTCTGGGAAAGGAAAGCGCCTCCAGGGAATTCTGTTTTAGGCCTTCCTGCTTCTAGAACCACCTCAGGTACTGACGCACCCCACTTAGCACAGCTGGAGGGGTTTGTGAATACTCCTGCCTAAATCCCTTCTACTTCTCACTTCTCAGGGCAGTGAAGCCTTAAGAAACAAAGCCCCCTCCTAATTTATCTGGTTGTCAGTCGGTCTTAGAGATACCCACTTTCCTGAAGCGAGGCGTGCCTGTAGAAACACTACGTGGTCAGCCTGTGCCCAAGGAGACCTCACGTCTCCTCTCCGTCTCTGCCTCTGTTACCATTGTGCATGTGTTCGTGTGTTTTTTAATAAAATATTGACTTGGCCAGTTGCACAGGGATTTCTTATTGAACAAGAAGACTGCAAAACCTGGCCCGAGCAGTTTCCACTGGAGCTTGTCTGGCGCTGGCCCTCCACCCGTGCTGTGTGCGCCCCTTGCTGAACTGCTGGACTTCAGGTTTCTCTCCATCTTGGGGGATGGTATAGCAGGGCTGAGTTTTAGGTACACGTGCAGGTTCTCATTATATTCACGTCCTCCTCCTGCAACACCAATCTTTTCATTTTGGAACGAGCTTTGGAGGAAGCTGAGGGTTGTGTTCACTATGATGATTGATTATCTTGGCCTAAATGTGCTGCTTCCCTGGTCCTGAGCTGCTCAGTTGGCTAGAAAAGGGAGGGTCAGAACAATGTTTGGGCAACCCCGTGTACAAGGACCTGCATTCATGACCGCATCTAATAGCAATTAGAATGACTCCAAGAGGGCAGTTATAGGACCACTTTTCTTTTCTTTTTTTGAGACAGAGTTTCACTGTTGTTACCCAGACTGGAGTGCAGTGGCACAATCTCGGCTCACCGCAACCTCCACCTTCTGGGTTCAAGCAATTCTCTGGCCTCAGCCTCCCAAGTAGCTGGGACTACAGGCGCGCATCACCATGCCCAGCTAATTTTTATATTTTTAGTAGAGATGTATTTTTCACCTCGTTGACCAGGATGGTCTCAATCTCTTGACCTCCTGATCCACCCACCTTGGCCTCCCAAAGTGCTGGGACTACAGGCGTGAGCCACCGTGCCCGGCCATGGACCACATTTTTAGACATGAAATCGGGGCTCCCATCCCAAGGCGCAGGGAGAGCCAGTGGGGAGCCGGGCTCAGGATCTAGGTCTGCCTGACTGCTGGCCCCATGCTTGCCTCTGCTGAGAGTTGCTGGGAGTGGAGGCACCGCCCATGGGCTTTGAGCTTGTGGCTGCTGGTCAGCTCGGGGCAACTGGCTCTGTCTGGGATGATCTAAGGAAGCAGCACCCATGGTGTATCTGAACCCCAGTGCTGCTGATGGGAGAGGATCCTGGGTACCAGCTGGGCCGGAACGGAAACATGGCTGAGCTGGCCCTGGCATGGTTGGCTCCTCAGGGACAATGGGATAGAGGAGCCTTGGCTGAGGAGGGCGCGGTCCAGGTGAGGCAGTGGGTCTGGGAGCCGCCTGCCTGTGGAGTGACAATGCAGACCTCGCCAAGCAAGCAGGATCCACGTTTGACCATTCGGGCCTCCCCCAAGAGGGCAAAGGTGGGGGAGAGTCGGAGGGGTGGTCGCAGGAGCCAGAGTCTGCTCAGTGAGGAAGGAAAGCAAAATGCAGAGCCGGGCAAGGCCTCCACAGACAGCGAGCCGCGGACCGTGCCGCCAGTGGCTTGGATGAGGGGTGGCTGTTTGAGGCCAAAGGACCTTTTTAGAAACCGGGGTTTCTGTGGCCTCCCAAAAAACTGTCTGGTAAAACCGTCCCTTCTAAGTGGCCACATCCTCAGCACCTGGGAGTAAATGTTTAAGCAAAGAGCTAACTGGGAGCAGCAGATGTAGGGCTGAGCCCAGCTCTGCCACTGCGTAGCCCCCGACATGGCGTGGACCATCCTGCCGAATGTTCGTTCCCCCAGAATAAGCCCATCCTGCCTGTGACCTTCCTGGAATTCAGCAACATAGCAGCGTGCTTATGTCATCACCATCTTTCTAGTCTTCATCCCCAGAGAGGTACCAGAATGACAAGAAAGAGCAGGCGAATGCTGAGAAGGTGATTGACTCACCTGGGTGCCAGGGAGCCGGAGAACATAATTTAGTTTCCTGGACGCTGAATTTTGTTAAAGTCAAGATTGGAAGCTGA